TGATGTTTGTATTAAAATCTAATATTCTGTTTTGACATTTTTCTATGACAAAATTCAGAACATTAATAATATATTATACAAATGAAAAAAATATAWACTWTGTCTAATWTGTTTAAAAAACATATTCCTCTTACTAAATTTTTAAGTGAGGCACCGCCTCACTTGCCTCACCCCAAAAACCGCCACTGTAATTTTATAGGTATTTTCGTCTTTCTTTTATAATCAGTCCTCCCTTCTCTATCTATTACATTMTTATTTTCCTTGTTCTTTTCTCCATTTTTATTCTCTAATGCTTCCGGTGTTATGCACTTATGATATGTTTATGTAATAGTCTCCTATTTTTCCACAATTYTCCCCCTTTATCTAATTTTACAATATATGACATTCTACCATCTATTTTATTTTGTATTACCCCAGGACTCCACTGTTTTCCATTTCTTTCTTTTTGTAAGTAAACCTTATCCCCTTCTCTTAACTCTTTAAATCCTTTAGCGTTTTTATCATAATACTGTTTTTGTTTGTTTTGTAATTCTATCAATATTTCTCTCACCTCAGCATATTTCCCTTTTTAATCTTCTATAGGTAATAACTAGAGCCCGGAATTATAATATTCTTTTGCATATTTTTTATGAGTCTATGCAGTCAGACGGAGGTTCGAAATCTTTACGAATCATGAAACAGGTGTAATAATGGCAAAAGTTCTTTTTGCATATTTTAAAATATTTCAAGATAAAAGAATATTTCTGATAATAAAGAATATTAGAGAATATATCGATTAATTTGTATAGATGTTCGATATTTTTGGTTGCAGTGACGTAAATAATATAAATTATATTATGTCCGATAATAGTGATAATGATATGATATTGAAAATATACTATATATTTATATACCATCGTCCATCGTATATACGATTGTTATACCCTTACGTAGTAATGTGCTGCAATCCACTGTAGTATATAAGATATGTGACTTATCTAAGATAACAATGCCCGACAAAAAATGGAATTACTACACAAAAATAGCTAGCTCCAAACAAAAAGCATATTTTATTATGATTAAAGAATATTGGGAGAATATTTTCAACTTTTTAAGAGAATATTAGCATCTTATCTTAGCTATTTGTAAAGAATATAATTCCGGGCTCTAGTAATAACCCTTTTATTTTCCTACCCATCAATATTTCAGCAGGGGATGCTAAATCTTTACTTATTGGTGTATTTCTATATTCTAGTAACGTTAGATAATAATCTTTCTTATCCTCATCTGCTTTGATCAACATTTTTTTATTGTTTGGATATGTCTTTCTACCTTTCCATTTGATTGTGCATTAGTAGGGCTCGATCCTATATGTTTTATGTGCCACTCTTTTATACATTTTTGAAACTCTTCTGGTGTGTATTGAGTACCACTATCCGATCTAATGGTTTCAGGTACCCCATGCCTATAGAAATTACTTTTAATTGCATTAATTGAGTTAAATTGTAAGCCTCATCAACAGCCCTATAAGCCGTGAATATAAGTTTTTAACTAAACTTTCATTTGTATATAATATATTTATATATTAATATATAATAATATTATATTATATGATATTTTATTAATCATTAGATGTATATGACGTGTACACTGTACATGAACACACACACATGCACGCACGCACGCACCCAATATAATATATTATAAGCTAGCGTAGTACAAAATATGTAACGCGTTATTATCGGTTGTGGGAAGTGGGGTAACGCGATCTCCAATGATCTCTAATTGTCGCAGTGCATTTGATGCTATGCCGACGAAAACAGTAGTTGGCTATAATAATATTATTATCATTTTTTTTTTTTTATACGTGTTTCCTCAATAGAAATTATTTAGACTTCAGATAGCAGAGAACTCATCACCGAATGACTCCGATGATAATCGATAACCACCGCCACCAACACGCAATAATATTATAATACAAATAGATAGGTACGTAAATATTATGTTCATTAGTAGACTAACAGCTCGCACGCCGGTCATYAGCACTCCGTCATTGTCGACAGCACAAAGAAAACGTTTCGAGTTCTTCAAAGGTATGAGCAACTTGTCGTACGTGTCAACGGACTTGGCAGGTCCGTCGGTCGGAATCTACAGGTGATTAAATTAATTTTGTAATAATTCTTATGATGTATATTATGTATTCATATACAATTAATATACAATATACTTTATACATAATACATACTATACTATGTTATAGTATGGTTTTGATGCCTGTTAACGTATCGCATAACGAGCTGTACTCATTATTAATGATAACATCCCAGACGTACGATGACGAGTTTATATTTTTTTTTCAAATTGCTTATGACGGTCGAAGTTTTCAATTTCCATCACTCAGAGTGAGAAGTCTGGCCGATTATTTAGGAGGCACGTGTCATTTTCACCGTGACATATTTTATTGAGTGGTCAAATCGTACGTCAACTTCTCGAAATGAGACCACCTACAATAAATACCGTTGTCGTATGATTTGTGTTTGTGATGCACTCGTGATTCAAAATAATATACACATATAATTTATTCGTACATAGTGTACGGACAAAGACATCAAGTCGRATATATTATACATTATTGTGAATTTCGTTTTACGAAATGTTATTTTCTCCACACCTAGGCGATCGACTACAARTCTTGTTGTAAGTTGTCGGTTCAATTTTTTTGATCCGCATATAATTCTMGGGACACGTTATAACATTATTCGAGTTCAAATATAGCAACGTCTAAGTTATTCTACTTGTAACGGCCATTGAAAATTATTGCTGTGGTTCTGTCAGTTTGAAATAGAAATTGCAAAATCAAACAAACTAGAAAAAATAAATTCTGTTTGAAGTGAAATGTAATCTTGACTCCGAATCCATTAAAAAATGTATTTTGGATCTGAGTAAAAACACGTCTTTGATATAATGTAATTTTATATTCTAATAATTGCACAAGTTCACATAAACAAGTTTCTTCGTGGTATATAAATCATCAAATTTGTATTAAATTATTTTATACTAAATACTATTAACATTTTTTAATTGTAATTTTAAAGTGAATGTTCTAATATTTTCAAACCAGCTATAATTAGAGATCTTTGTATAATCGTAATGTATTAACTAAAAATCAATAAAAACGTTAAATAATATTGTTTCATGTTTTTACAAACATTATTTCTTATGATAATAGGTACAAACCAAGTAAAATAAATATTCTAAAATAAATCATGGTCACTGAATAATAAAATATTGTAATTATTTAATAAATTTATACTTGGATACACAACATCATAAAAAACGTACGCAATGAGAAAATATCTTTGAAATAATTTTGTCATATTTTTATCTTCATGAGAAACATTTTAATCGTTTGTATTTTACACTTAATATTTATTTGTGAATRTATTGCCTTAGATAAACTTTTATAGGTACCTAATTGTAATAACTCCACAAACAATTGATTTAATTCTTTAATCTTTTAATCAATATAAAAAATATGATACATTTCAAATGCGTGTATACGCTTTATAATTGTTTATTAACATACTTAAAAAATAAAAATTTATAGGTACCTTTATAGTATTTTTTGTTTTGATTAGAGTTGGTCATCATGTTATTCTTGATTGAATTTTAAACAGATTTAATTATACTTATTTAAATTATAATCTGAGTGAAAATAAATAATACATTTTGGGAATTTATATTGGTTATACAAGTTTTCGTGATACCCATTCTGTTTTTTTATGTATCTACTTGTTAATGTTGATTTAGAGTGAATATGATAATATAATTAATTAAGACTATCTTCGAAAAATTTAAGTTTATCGAACTTACAATTGCTTGATGTATTAATCTAACGAGATGATTATAGTTTTTAAATATTTTCATTCAAGTATTGAAACATTTTCTCATCGGTAACGAATAGAAAATTACAAATAAATTAATAAATTACTCCGGCATCTAAATTATATTTTATCATAAATTAAATTCTGAATAAATTAGGTAGGTATAGAAATCATTAATTGTATTTACGAACGAGCATATTTTTATCAACGAATAATTATTTTTAACTTGAGGTCAAACTGTCAACATTTTATCATGTTTCTTATTGTACTTATCATTGAACAATATCTAATTATTATTTGAACATTTAAGTATTTATTTAAGTAAGAATATTTATACGAAATTAAATTTAAAAAAAATTTTAGGGCATTATATTTATTTTGTATTCATACATTTTCACGAATGTTTTATAGATTTGTTTTATATCAGTTCTTAACAGAGGTATTTACAACTTATTTCTACGAATTTTGAACTCATTCTTCATTGTTTATTTTTTTTTATACAATATTACTAAAGGATAAGCAAAACATTCTTGAATAACATATGTTGTAACCTTTATTCACGAATAATTAAATACGGAATTTTTCCCTAATCGCATTGGTTTAATTAGTTTCGGTTCATATAATTATATTTATTTTAATAATTAAGTGTGAAAACATGAGAGATTAATGTTATAAATTATTTTAGGACATAATATTCAATTTTGATTTTTAAGCATTAATTACAAYCTTATTAGCTTATATTAAACTATTTATGTATGATCAATTTATGCATTTTGATTTTTTTTAATAAGATTTTTGTTTATTAATATTATTTTATTAACAGTTTTTTGTTATACTATGGTATTAATTGTAACTATATCTAATTATAATGTCTTTATTTTAGATTAAAAAGCATCTAAAGACCAGATTATTGTATCTTTTATATAGTAATACAACTGACCTTTTAACATTAATGGTTATATTATATGAAACTTTAGTCTTCATGTTATAAATACATGTAGTATAAAATGTTAACTTCTATGTTATCAACTTATACAAGATAATATATTAAAAATATATGTATATATGTATATACAGTTAAAAACAGTTTTTATTTTATTTGTAGCCAAGCAGTTAAATACGGTGATACAGTTTATTTGTCAGGTACCTTGGGATTGGATCCTTGTACTGGTAAGCTGGTTGAAGGCGGTGCCGGACCCGAGATAAAAAAGGCACTGGAAAATATTAAACATGTTCTAGAAGCGTCTCAATCTTCTTTCAGTTCAAGTAAGTATATCAAGAAATGCAACTATTTTGTCAAAACTTACGATCATAATTAACATTAGACATTTCACCAGTTTCACCGGTTAAAAGTTTAGTTTTAAATGGTGTCACTCGGCTATAAATTGTATATTATAATATGATGGTTAACACAAGTATTGCTTTTTATTTGTTTCTAAATAAATATGATAATATAGTACATGAATGATACCACAAAATACAAATAACTTGATTCCAAACCAATGATGTACTTATAGTTCTTATAAATTGTTGAATCTTAGTCGACTATTCCATAACACAAAATTCTAATATACAACAAGATTTTAATATGGCTTCACAGTAGATATGAAATTAATGTGTTTATATTATTTTTGTTCTTCATAATAATAAATTTCATCGTTATGTTCTAATGTATAGTGGTTTTTTAAATTTATAATCTGTCATGCCTAACTGATTTTTTTAACTCAGTATATTTTTT